ACAATATTATATATTATACGGTAGAAACAATATGAATTTTTAATAGACATTTTAAATGTATTTTCAAATACATCTTTCTTACAAAAAATTATCGTATAATATGTTTTTTTCAGCCATCATTTAAATTATAATATAAACTAATAAATGATAATATGAAATCATAATATAAATAAAATTTTAATTTAAAATATAATTTATAAGCTAAGAATCTGAACAGATTTACTTTTAGGTAAAGATTGTGGATAAGAAATTTTATTGAATTAAAAAAATAAGATTGTTCTCATGCAAAAATATTGATTACAATTGAATCTAACTTGATTGTGAAGATATTTTAATTTTCAATTTCCTTTGAAAAATACCAGACTTTTATTTTGATTGCAATTTTCAGTCATTTTAAAAACTGTGTTCTACGTTTTTTTCCTCAAAAGTAGCGATAAAACTTTAAAGAAAATTAAGTAGCGGGAAAAAGAATCTCTATTAGAAGGAAAAACTTTCTTTAACAGAATAAAAGGTAACAACAATAAAAAACTGCAATTGAATTTTCTAATTCAGAAAAAACGCAGAAATGCAATAAAGAATACTATAGATTTTTTATTACAATCTTAAGCTATTTGGAAAATTTGACAGCAATTTACAGCATTGTTATCACTAGAGGCAAAAACTAGAGATTTCTTTAAAAAAAAAGAATATACCTATATATAACATTCGTATGAGAAGAAACTTTTCAAGAAAAAAATGCCGTGATTTTATTCGTACATTTTTCCCTTAGTTCTCGAAAAGTTTAGAAAACTTTTGTACAGTTATAAATATATTTTTAAACAATTATATTAAAAATTTTGAAACAATTTTATTAAGAGGTTTTACTGTTGTAGTATATTTACAAATAAAACTAAAATTAAAAATTAATAAGTTTAAAGCAAAATTAATAATAGAGATTTTAGCCATATACATATAATTTTATCAAAGCATAATTTTAAAGATGTTTGCGAAAAATAAAAGAAAATAAATGATATTTATAAATTTAATCATCATTTTTCTCTTTTTTATCAATGGTTTTAAATTATCTGAGTTGTATGTATGTATGAGAAATATGAGTATATCAGTCAGTTAATAGTAATCATTACAAGTGTTTAATGCATCGAGTTAAGAATCAATATTTTTTCTGTATAATCAATGGTATGCGACTAATCGTACTTACGAATGATGAGTGACGATGGGCCTACCAAGGTCTAGATAAACTGATGACGTATGTATCGCGAGAATAGTAAGACTCATTAATGAATAAATCGGCCAAGGTGGATCTTGCGTCTTGTATGTATGTGTACAAGGTGAAAGAAATAAAGACTATAAATTGGACGTTACGCAAATATAGATTGATCTAGGAAAAAGAAATTATATCATATATACAACTGTCAATAATATGGAATTCTGATGTATTTTCATTTTGTTTAATTTTTGGAACACTTCGTACAAAGACGTGATCCAATCTGTTAAAATATACGAGTCAAATCATAATAAGTTTTCTTATGCCAAACTCTAAACGGCTCAAAACACCTTACCTTTTTCTGTCAATGCAGCATAGTAAACTACTTAATAATTTCACAGTGTCGGTCCGATTGTTCGTCCATTTGTCCATCCGTCTGCAAGATTTCTCAGAAACGTCTTGACTTTTTCAAATTTAGTTTCTGACAATAGATAAACGAGAATCTGATAAAATATAATCAGTTGATTATAAGGGATTCAAAAATCAAAGTGTCAAAATCAATTTTAGAGAGAGTGAAATTCTTTGTTTAATGAAATTTTTCTATTAAGTTTTTCATTGCGTTAGTTCATTCATTGCGAAGGGTTTATTATATGTATATTCATTTTAAGTGTAAAAATTTTTGGGAATTTCAAACAATGCGAACAGACCTTATTACAATATAGACATATGAATGCCGACATTGCAAGTCAATGCTAGAAAAAAATTACAAATCTTACACAACACTACCTTAGACTATTATTTTCGATAACGTTTCTATTTTTTAAATGAAAAATAATGTAGACTATTTTGTCAATGAATATGAAATAATGCATAGACTAGCACGAAAACATATTATATTATATGTATATACGAACGTGAAGAGAAAGAAAACGAAGTGCAAAAAGTACAAATGACGCGAACAGACCATATGATACATATACCTTCTTTTTTCTATCTCCATTAAAGAAAAGAAAGATAATAAGCGTGAACACATGTCGACATCAGTGTAGTTAAACGTAGGGATTTCCCCTTAACATAGGGAATTTTTACTTCAAAAAGGCGTAGGGGGAATTTTAAGTTAAAAAAGACCAAAATGTAAGGATTCAAAATCTTTACATTTTGGTCTTTTTTAACTTAAAATTCCCTACGCCTTTTTGAGGTAAAAATTCCCTACGTTAAGGAGAAATCCCTACTTTTAACCACACTGGTCGATATATATCAAGTCAAAACTTAAAATTGTAGATTTTGAACAATTAATCTAATAAAGGTAGTTGAAAATTTCATTTTAATTAAGAAATTAATTACTTTAACGTATCAACATTACAAAAAATTATTATAAAATGCATCTTCATAGATTTTTTTAAACTATATCATTAAAATTTAATTTAATTTTTATTTATATTAAACAATATGATATCTACAAATTTGGTCCGATAAGAATAAATCTAATTAAATAAGAGAAGTCCTATATTCGGTCAAAGCGGATCTCAGTCTACTTTGACCGAATATAGGACTTTTCTTATTTTTAATTAAATTTATTTATAAAAGATTATTATTTAATTTAACTTGTTTTTTATTGTACGCAATTCGTGAAAGACTAGAATGATTTTGTGTTACGAGATAAAATGACGATTTTTCCTTATAGGGGATATTATATCTGGAAAACAATGCTGAGCGAGTATCGATTTTCGCGAAATAGGAGACGATGGACAGTCGACTAGTGGAGTCAATCGCAGATGCTGCCTCATCCATTAAATGCCGCCTTATATCACGCAGGCGATATAGGTCGCGCACGTGCAGCGGCATGCGTTCTGCGAATTTTCCGAGACTCATCGAGTCGAAAACTAGATGACGAAGTTATGGTTCCACCCACGCAAAGATCGAATTCCGAACGAGGTGTCTCGACGCGCTTCGTTTAGACTACAGACTTCAGACTTCATTTAAATACGCGGATTTTTTTATTGTTTCGAGATTGGCAACAACCAAGTCGCGTAATACAAAAATAATTTGAACATTTTTGTTAATACGAAACGTTTATCGAATTAATTTTTAGATTTATTATGTATCCAAGTGGGAATTTATACAGAAAAACGGTATTGAATCCTGGCGAGGTACCGAATCTGTACCGAAAAATGAGTTTCATATTTTAGTATCATAAAACTAATGATACGATACTAGCCCAATCTATGAATCAGTATTGAATAGTAATACTGATCCAGTACACTGCCAGTAGATTTTCGATATCGTGTGTGTACTGAAGTTGCCAAAACCAGTGTGTCGGAGGCCAGTATCAAAACTGTATACCGCCAATATATTTGCAGTATCGGGTCTGTATTGTAATTAGTAAAAGGAATATGTCAAGCATCAGTACTGAGCCAGCATACTGTCGATAGATTATCGGTATCATGTCTGTACTAAAATTGGGAAAGGATTATGACGGGCGACAGTACTCATCCAGTACTGAGCCAGCATACTGTCGGTAGATTATCTTCAAGACAAGTGCAATTGTTTCAGTGCATATATAAATCAATTCGCATAAAATTAATTTCCGAAAAGATTCATAGCGGCTGATTTTCGCGTTTGAAAAACGTCCAGACATGATATAAAAGGACTGCAAAATGCGAGCATCGTCACTTCTGCTTTCTCCGTCTGGAGTTAAAGCTGAAGTTGTAACCTTTCTTGAATTGGCTATACGGCTTTTGCGGTATAGAGAATTGGTACAGACTTTTTATACAATATTAGTACTGTTATAATATTAAAAATTGGTATTAATATTTGGTACTGTTGCAATATTATGAATCAGTAACGATTTTTGTTACAGTATTATTTTTGTTACGGTACTAAAAATCAATATCGATACTAGATACAATATATGTACTAATTCTGGGTACTGTTACAATATTGTAATCCCGTACTGTAATAGTACTCTAATACTGTACTATAATAGTACTGTATTCCAAACCTTGGCCCATTGCTATCATCCCAGTGTTTTACCAGTACTATACCAGTACTGGTATTCGGTATTGCCTCGGTACTAAAGACTGAAAAATAGTACTGGATCAGTACCTCGCCGGTATTCAATTCCCACTTGGGTACTCGATTAATCAGTTTTTAAACTCTGTAAGGTAGTTAAATTAAAATTTAAATACTGAGAGATTAAACTTCAAAGTCGCAAACATTCTTTAATTAACTTTTAAATAAACATTTTAACAGATTTCCAATATATATATTTAAAAATTGATTATTTTATATTTAATATTACAAATTAAGAGAGAGGTAATGATCTTTATGTAAGAGCAATTAACTTGTAATCGACAGTTCCCTGATTGACATCCTGTATATGCACCAGTTTTAAAAATAAAAGATTGGATTGGAGAATTAAAATCATTTCATTTATTCGTTTATTTAATAGTTAATTTTAAAAATTAAAAATTCGATTACAAATTATATTTCTCTTCAATATTTTGTTAAACTTACAATTAGTTAAGAGACATCGTATATAAAAAATACCAACTGTCGTGCATAGTAAATATCTGATACATGAATCTTTCCAAATAGACGTAATATTCATCAATATTGTATTGTGATCTCTAATTGCAAAAATAAATAAGAAATAATTTTATAATTTGACAAAAAGCATTGGCTGCAGCAGATCCATATTCCGTAATCACTTGCCTGATTTTCTTTCTTTCTCAATAAAAAATGTCGAAGAGTTCCGAGTTCGCTGAGTGAAGCAGTACGTTCATTCAAAGCTTACCTTTGAACGAATTTCGGACGAGAGTCATGCTCATATTCGCGGGAGCCGGTGCCTTGAGGGTTACGTCCGGCGGCTCCTCTTCCTCCTCTTCCTCCTCCTCCTCCTCCTCCAGCTCCGGCTTCGGCTCCTCGACGTCGCGGCCAGGTTCCGTTCTCCGGCTTCGGCGGAGGGAGGCGTCAGCTCGATTTTCGCCTCACGACGATGAGTTCGTTGTCCATCGGCGTTCTAAGGCACAGCGGCGCATCAACATCGCTGCAATTTCTTCTTCTTCTTCTTCCTCTCTTCTCAAGTCGCCTCTCTCACGTACTTTCAACTTGAACTCTCGCTGCCCTCGCGATACCTCGTTGCGGCGCGCGCATGCGGAGGTCTACCGTTATCACTCCCTTGTCACCCGATCATCTATCCTCTCTTCATCGCTATCACTACAATCATGTGATCTATCGTGGTTCAAGACACAGACTGACGAGACGAATCGCTCGTTTCATCGTCGCGGCACGGCTACGTGGACTCCGACGACGGCAATGACTACGGCCGCCCAGAGGTCAGAGGAAGCCTACCGCTCGACCGAGTCGATCAAGTGCCCATCGGCAACGGACATGGAAAACACGCGCGTCACTGCTGGTTGATTCACGTGGAAGAGGCACGAAATGCGAAGGAAAATGTGGAGAAAATGTGGCTGTGCGAGAAAAAACGAGCACGGTGCTCTTGACAGGACGGAGAATTCCAGTTGTCGAAATTGTGCTCCAACCAGGTTGCTCCGTTTTCGGAGATCCTCTTTGGTCGTGCGCCAATACTTTATGTGAAATAAGTCTCCCCCGGGGATTCCAGGTGAGTTTGGTGCCAGAGTTCGCACCACGAAGTGCCATCCACGCCGGAACTTGGAAACGTCATTCCCTCCGGCTTTTCTACCTCGCGTCTTCCTCGCGTCTCGCCGTCGCGACGCTCTCGTAATTTTGTGGTCGTTGTCGAGACGGTGGACGGTTGAAACGCGCGCGACGACGGTGGGCCACGACTACGCTTTGTAAATAATCATTTCACTCGCGCGCGCGTATAGAGAAAGAGAGGGAGAGAGAGAGAGAGAGAGAGAGAGAGAGAAAGGGAGACAAATGAAAGATAGAAAATGAGAGGGAAAGAGGAAGAGAAAAAGAGAGAAAAGGGAGAGGCTACTCCGTGCTCCGGGTATATTCGCGGGAATATCGCGCACAAGAATGTTGCACGCTCCTTTTTTCTTACTCTTCTTGTAGTATCGCTTCTTCTTTCTTCTCCTCCATCTCCTCCTCTTTTACCTTCTCCTTCCCTCCCTACTCCATCACTTCCTCCTCCACTTTCGACACCTTCTCGTTTGAGACGTCCGTCTTCGCAGCACGCACCACCGACGCACAGAGAGGAGAGAAAGAAAAAATAAAGGGAAGCACTCCCGATTGCGAGAAGATCACGGTGCGAGAAGATCAGAGAGGATGGACAATGACGGTGGGTGACTACACGCGCGGAACAGGGGAGGACCGAGGACGGGAGAAAAGGGTGCAGGGAAGGGGACGCGAGACGGATGCGAGACGGTCAAGAGTGTGTGAGGAAGAAACGCGAGACGGGAATTGGGAAAAGCGAAAGAGAAGTGAGAGAGGATGGCTGTGTGTGCGGATGGTGTGTCAAGACATAGCAGAGAGACGGAGCGGGCAACTAGGCAGAAACGGTTCGGTGCGTTACTAGCAGCCTCGCGCCGAGTAGAGAAGCCAGAAGCACCGGGTTAAAACACGATTCCCTAACTAACACACACGGAGACGGATCGGGGACTGCTTTGGAGCAGTTTACTATAGGATGGGACACGGATGGTGATGGCGGCCGTGTAGCCGTAGCAGCCACCGCCCCCATACTCCTTCTCTCTCTATCTACCTCTATCTCCGTCCCGCTCGCGCGCACCGTCCACCCTCTCCCCCTCCAACGCGAAACCAAATCTCCCCTCTCCTACTTTCTCTCTCTCTCTCTCTCTCTCTCTCTTGCCCCTCCGACGATATAAACGACGATGGACACGCTGGAATATCCCTCCACTCTTCGCTTTCCTACACGTTCTCTCGTGGGCTCCCGGCCGATGAGATTCTCCCCCCCCTGCATCCTCCGCCTCCGCCTACGGTGTGCCGCCGTTGTCGGCTGTGCTGTCCCACGTCCGACGTCTCACCCCTTGGCCGGCTTCCCTCTCTCGCCCGCCACCACCCTCCACCAACGCAACGCGCAGCCCCCCTCCTGCTCTGCCGCCCGCCGTTCCTGGGACAGCGAGATGTTATCCTCGAGCGATTCGTGCGTGTGCTATATATCCGTTTGTCCGCCGTGCCGTGCCGTCGCCACATCCCCTACCTGCGTCGCGTTCCCCTGCGTCAACGTCGGCGTGTGCGTCGGCCGCAATCAAGGCTAGGACCGTATCCACCACCAGCACGTGCCCTACTCCACATTGGTCAAGCGGCACGAGCGAAAGGTCGTAAAAAAATTATGGCGTATATACTTTACGTTGTTTCAACGCTTAAAACGTTTTCGGTCATTCTAAAAATATCTCACTTACGTGACACATTTTAAAATATTTGTCCTATATTTAACCGAATGTGAGATTCGTTCATTTTAGCTAAGCTGACTTTATTATACATTCGTACATTTCACTGTACTGTAGATATAAACTTGAGAGATTTTTATTAGACTAAAGTTAGTTTATTAGGTAAGGTTTTTGTAAGAAACAGAAAGAGATAGAAATGCGTTTAGATAATTTTCTTTATGCATACGGATATGTATAAACGATAAACGTGTACATAAAGAATTTATCTGGATATACCCTTCTGTATTCTCACAAGCTCTATGAAGAATATATTAACAATGACAATGAATCATAAGAATCAAATTTTTACAAATAAAGTATTTTAAAATATTTCTTACGAACGGAAATCGTGTTATTATAATAGTACGTGTCGACTAGAGAGAATTTTCATAAATAATAAATGTACATCCATTGCTTCAAAGTCTGTAGAAGAAGTTATCTTCATTTTGCAAAATATTTTACTGTTGAGGACTTTGTAATAAAATAACTTTTGAAAGTAAAATTATACTGATTTTCTAACATATTCAAAAATACAAGTTTAATATATTGATTCTTTATTATTATTGCGACATTTGATTTATCATTATTTTATACCTGCTAAAATTAATGTAGTAAAGTAACGAAACGTTGAGCTACCGTGATGATTGTAAATCGATTAACTATAAATCGGAGGGAAGTCGGAAAAAAAAATTTTTATGGTTTATTCTCATATCGACAAAAAAGCAGTTGTTATCGCAACGCGCTCATTAACCGGAAACCATAGTATCTTCGGTTTTAGCTGATACGCAGACATTGCTTCATTCTTTATCTGGCAAATGAAAGGATGCGTATACGTTATATAGAGATGCGTGTGTGGTATGGCCATTTCCTTCGAAGCACGTTGGTTCTCTCTTTCTTTCTTGAAGATTGAACTCCGTAGAGAGAAAATGGTGCGGCCAGCGTGCATCTTGGAAGGAAAAGAATTATAATACGGTTTGACCTGCAAGCTATCATAAATGCGTGGACGGTCAGAAGTTGCTTTCTTTAACCCTTTTGACATCGAAATTTCGACAGAGTTATTCGGTATTTAACATGTGTTTATTTCACGACGTTATTGATAGATACACTGTTGCTGTTTCAAAAAAATATTAGTTTGATTTAACTAAATGCAATTTTTGTATACTGTATACATTTTTGAAAATTGATGTAAGTACACTATATCTTTTTATAAGCTGACGTTGATAAGAGCACACTTCTGTATTATATAATCAGTAAAGTGTTAAATAGTTATAAAAATGTTGAATAAATATGGTCGTTATAATAAAAAAAAAAATATTTCTATATAAGATGACTGATTTCTATATAAGTTGTTTGATGAAATATATTTCTTTTGGTATTTAATAAATATAGATTGCAGGGTTTTCTATAGATTAAATAAAAAGAAATATTAAGAAATGAATAAAATTTTTAAATAAAAACAGAAAAAATTTCGATTTAAAAAAAATTTAAACTTAAGCCTGGAGGTTTTAAAAGACTTAATTTTCGATTGAAATGTATAAGTAGGTATACATAAATAACTAAATTTTAAGACAATATGACAATTAAAAAGGGCATAGAACCAATATTTAAACAAAACGTATTTAATTAAATCAAATAAAAATCTCTAGATACAAACGTTTCGACTCCAATCGGGTCATTTTCAATGTTACAAATTTTGTCGTGAATCTTAAATTACAATTATAATCTCTTAAATGGAATTAAATATGATTAAATAAAACATTACATAAAATCACACGCGTAATCTTGTCGTTGACATAAAAAGCGCAAGTTGTCCATTAGAAATTAATTTAAGTTGCGAATAAATTCATATCTAAGAAAGAATAATTATACATTTGAAACCTCAGGTTATATATAAAGAATATTGTCTATAATAAAATAACATAAAGTCATTTACCTTGTCGGTGAAGTATAATTACACAATAATATGTCAGTGAAATGTAAAAATCCAAATATGTGTCAGTAAATATAAAAATTCAACATATGTGTCAGTAAAAATAAAATCCATTAATGTGCTATAAATTTTCCTTGTCACAAATGTTATAACTATAAAATATTTTGCACCGATGTACGTGACACACTCTTGATCAAGTCTAATAAATTTTAAGAAATAAAAGTAAATCAATAAGAGTAAATCAGAATATTTTGATTATTTATTAGTGATTAAAAATTAATTAAATTTAATCAATTTAAATCTTGCAACAAGTATCTATCATATTATATAATATCATATGGTATAAAGCAGAATTGATTTTTCTAAAATATGTGTAATTGCACAACGAAGTTAAACGCAGAACGTTAATTATGCGGTGAGAACGGAGAAGTAGCAGAAATAGCTCGCGATAAGGTTCGGTTATCTGCGTTTAATTCCCTTGACTTTTCACCGCTGTAAGGCAAATGATACGTCCGCAAAGTGTGCATGGGAATTGTTTATTCTAACTAAGCGCACAATGCGTAGAAGGATGTGTCTATAAAATTTCAAACATATCCTTTTTGATAAATAATTGTTAAAAACTAGACGTTAATATATTTTTTTCATTACAGGCAGCGGTCATGTATACATATACAAACAAATAAATTAGGACTTTATTCGGAGTCTCCTGGTTATAAAAATGTATTTACTTTCGTTATTCTGCTTATCCTACTTCAAATCCGATTTTTTTTACTTTATATTATTTTATATTTAATATATTTAAAGAGAAAACAAAATTAATTCTTTTTAGTTTTTATTTAAATTCTTAAATCATACATAAGAATTTTTTGGAAATATATATATAGGCAATTGTTTTTATTTCATATTTTATTATAAGGTCATAGAAATCTAGGTTTGAATGATATTTGTATTTTCATGGATTATAGTTTATTTTACACATAACTGATATAATTTTCAGTAATTTTAAACTCAAAATATTATTTTGAAATTAAGATTAATATATACTGAGACTTTAATGTATTCTTGAAATAAGTTTATACATTACTTTTCCCTGAATTATTTTCTCAGAAAGAAGAGCAGATATATCTTGTATTACAAGAAATCATTGATGAAACAGAACGTAAATAAGATAGCAATGTGAAATGCATTATCATATCTATCAAGAGATGAGGACGTTATGCTGAAGTCTTATCTATTACGTATATTATCATGTTGCTATGTATGTTAACTGTACACGATTAATAACTTTTCCGATAAGTAAAATGCTTTAATCATGCTCGAACTCTTCTAAACGTCACATTGCTGCCGCGTGATGATGGGAAAGATTCCTGAAATGTGAATCGTCGTGTCTATTTTTGAAGGTAACATTGGGTTACTGGCGGTATTATACAATCATTACAATCTCTATACGATAAAATATTCTCGGGATAACGTGCTAGATACGTATCGCGAGTTTTTGTCGTGCTTTCATCTCGCGACCGAATTGTAGTTAATCAATCGCTTAGCAGACCGAGTCACGAGTTCTTAGTCACGGGTTCTTCCAAATTCAGCAGTCAGAATCAATGTGGCGATTCCGTCCCTTCCTTGACTCCTCCACTCTTCTCCCCGCTCACACGATGTTCTCCCACTGTCTTCCTCTACTCTCATCTTCTCGAGCACGTCCCATCCGCTCGCTCCTCGCCGTTATGTCGAAGGCAGTGAGAACGCGGCGACGTGGTAGCGGTACTGTTCGCTACTATTATTAGTGTGCAGCTGCCTGCGAATTACTGAATGAAAACGGAGGACCGTCACGGAACAATGTCCGAGAGAAAGAGAGAAAGAAAGAGAAGTGAGATCCAGCGGCATCGTTAAACAACAGGCGTCGTCGGGCAATGATCGTAATCGGAGCCGAATCGCCGTCTCGCGAGAGCGGTAGACATGCTACAAATTAATCCTCGTTGCATATCTTCTTGATTGTTTACCGATGTCTCTTCTCGACATATCGAATCTAATAGAAACTGATTCTTTTCGAATATTAAAACTTTTCGTACGGTTCTGGTCTTAAGACACTTTGGATATATTTGACACACTTATTCCAATACTTGTAAAATTAATTTGAATATGATATCCTTGATTATTGACTCGTATGAATAAATCTAAATGTGTTTCATGCCAACTCGAGTCCAAACACCGGTTATAATTGTGTCTTAGATTCTTTATTATAATATGATATACGTTTCGATCCTTGTATCGGATCCTTATCAATATCTCTTAGATACTACAATTACATCAATGTGCTTCCTAGAACACTAAATGATCGCATCCTTATTATCAACAGCTTGCTTCATTAATTGAATATACATAGAAAATAATGAATTATTATAAATCAACTTACATGATGTATTGTTAGTATGTATGATGATCGCTATACCGTTCATGTCGATAGTCAACAAGCAACTGTTCTCGCTCGCGTATAACCTATTCTTTTATTTCAAATATATAATACATATGATTCATATGACCGTCAATAATACAAAACAAAAAGATTAAAAACTAAACTTTAACCAACAAACATTCATATGCTGAGCTCAATCTCTCCGTATCAGTCTGTAAATTTAAACTATTTTCTTGTCTATGAATATGTATCATTTCAGAAGCGAGACGTCTATTCAAAATTATTTCTTCATCCAGAATTTCTATGTCATTCCACTTAAACTCATGTGAGAAGTCCAATCTATGATCTGTAATTACTGATTTTTGTTGCGTGTTCCAATTAATATGATTTCTATGTTCTGCAATTCTGGTTTTTAAAGTTCTACCTGTTTGACCAACGTACATAGTAAAATTGATTTGACAATTTAATGCCACTGGTTTCTGGAAAATAATTGATTAAAGAAAAAAATTTGGCTCTTCATGAAGTCTTCCGGGATGATTC